CTCTCATTTATAAGGAAATAATTTTTTTTTAAAAATCCTCTTAAAAACAATGATTCATTTTTACAAATCAAAATAGAAGGATGTTTAATGTAGATTTAAATGGGTTAATGTTGTCGATTTATCACAAAAGACCGATCAAATTTAATATTTAATGAGGCCAACATATAACCCCTGTATTCTTATTTTACTATACCTCAAGTGAGCATTTTGACTAAAGGCCTTTTGATTTATATATTTTTAAATTTTCTAAACCAACAAGAAAAATACAAATATATATATATATATATATAACAAAATCTACAAGCTTTTAAATGGGTCATTACTTTACGGGGGTTATTTCTCTTCATGTAGTGAATGCAGATTTTAATGGTGATGCCTCTTTTTCTACAAGCAAAAAGATCATTTTTCGAAGTTGAATACTGACACTGGGGCTTTTTTCGATGTGGAAAAATGACAAGGAGTCGTTTGCCGACGTCGGAAAAGTAACCCCGGTCTATATTCGACGGGGGTCACTAGTCTTCTTAAAACAGGACAACTTAAAACTAAGCAGGAGATGTGACAAGTCATTCCAATAGCTACGGTGCTACCTAATTAACCTGTGGTAGGAATATGCTCGATATGGTCTTGCATTGTGCATATTGTTGAAATACAATAGAGATTTCATTTGTCACAAGTCGTCTTGCATTGTGTTATTGAAATACAATAGAGATTACAGTTGTTTCAATGATCGTGTTTAGAAATTCCTTACATTTTAGAGTGATCTATTGATAACGGTTTCCCTTTCACAAAATTCAGAGCCCAGAGTAATGTAATACTGTAACATCATCCGTAGATGGTGAAATATTCCTATCTCTGGTATATCTCGTAAACTGGATATTTTTTTTCCTATTGTATATATGACTGCAAAAACCAAACTCGAAATATCGAGAGACCAAGCCTCTTTTTTTCAAATTCGGTCCCATTATCAAGCTGTCTTTTCTGAGGCAAAGATGTATAGCTGATGACTCTGCCTCATGTCCAACTAACATTCGGATGATATTTATGAAAGCAAATGATACAGCACGTCTACTGTTATTCACGTCCAATAAATGTAGCATACATGTTTCTACTGTAATCTTTTGTCCTTCTTTGTTGCCATATTCTTGCCTTGGGATCTTGCTCTGAGTTCATTTAACGCAACTCTATTTGGATATTTGCACAGTACTTAGCTTCAGAGGCCACCTTGTAGTTCTGGAGAAATTTTTTAAAAACATTTCTGGGTAAGAGGTTGTGACTCCCACATTAGCAATGGGCACTATGGTTTAAATAAATTTAATATCCTGGCTACACCATTTTCAGAACAGTGTTTTGAATATTTTACCAATATTTTTTTTTTAAAAATTTAAGCACTTTGTTGACCTTTTCCATTGAAAAATGAAAAACACTGAACAAAATGCTGAAAGAACGGAAGAACTTGATAAATATTGTAACATATGCTGATCTCGTCTAAACTTCCTCGTAGATCTGGGCATTCTCATCTCGGGAATCTCTATTTCGCTGGGTTGAGACGTGACCTTGGCAAACACCACTGAAAATATTAAACTTCAATTATAATGCTGCAAAGGTCATGAAGCAAACTCCAAGAGTCACAATGGCAATAAGCAAAGTCGTATTGTTTGAATCCACTGATCGCTTTGACGATCGCATACTGTGCATATGTACTGCTGAAAAAAAGGAAATTATTACTACTAATGATTGAATTAGGAATGAAATTGTTTGTTTATATTTCCAGAACTTAGGCATATTCTATGAATGAATATAGTTTTAAAGTAGCATTTTGTATCATTTGATGGTTTTTTTTTTGTTTCTATGCATTGTTCATCTCATTTAATATTGTTTTGGTGCTACTGTGACAGTATATATATACGCAGCTATGTTAAGGCTTCCTGGAGCTTTAAAATGCGCTCAAAACATAATATGTCATTGCGAGGTCGGTTTTGGTTTTAATTTATAAGTATTGAACTTAAGTACTTCCAATTTATATAGAGAGTTTCCTCGGCTATATATTAACATATTTGTTATGATATCACATGATTTTGCTGATCACGTGACGGTCATTTATAATTTTTGGAAGTGTTTCATATAAATCGCTTCGGCGCAGCTGATTAACACAATAATTATTAACATTCTGTTATATAAATAAACTCATCGTATCCTTGTGTATCCGAAATGTGCTTGGGAAAAATCATAGTATTACTTAGATACAAAATATTTCCTGAGAAATTCAGCTTACCTACAAATTTGAGGGTATTTTCCACACAATATCGTAATCTGTATTAAAACAAAGCCAACACACATTTTTCCCAAGCAAGATTCAGTAAGAGAACAACCTCTTCTAAAATTCTCAGATTAATCCTCATTAATCACCTGCGCCAGACTCTTTTATACACACAAAATAAATTCTACCTCATGTACATTTCAAAAGTATATTTTTCATAAGCATTTTGAACATGCTGTGTTTCAATCAAGGGTAGGTAAACGGTGTATTTTTAAAATATTCGGACATATACGACTTAAAATACCTTTAACGACCAGTGAATTTTGCAATAGCTATCAAGCATTTTACATGCAGTTTGAAATAAAGTGTAAAGTTCATAACACTCTCCCCGTCATAACACCTCAAGTTTGCAGTGACTTGACGTCATTTTCCATTATGACGTCATATTTTGGTAGTTCAGAGATGGGAAGGCACAGAGTGCACTGTGATATTCTACGGGAAGCCTTAACCTACCTGCGCAGTGCTATAAGCATTTTTCTTTGCTCTTGCTAATTCTTCCATTTACTAACATGCTTATTTTCTACATCATTAGAAGTGCTTCATGCGTGATAGTATACATTTATTGACTTGGTTCGAGCGCAACATGAGTTTTGTCAGACCCGGGAACCAAATTGTTTGTCCGAGGCCATTTTCGAATTTTGCCGAAAACCGTCGATATATGTTTTATATAAACATCTAACAAATCGTTTGCTGGTTTCCTTGTTTCATATGTTAATGTATATGACAAAAGATGGAATGTATATATTTAACCTGCAGTGCTCATTTTACTAGGTCCATTCAGTAACTGTTGAACACAAACAAATAAAAACTAGACAAAGTTTGTTTACTTCATCCCGCCTGAAGCTGTGGGCGAAGAAACGATGATCTTTATGATGATTTTTACGTCATACTTTTTTCCTCAGCGTAACCAGGATAGGCTAATTTGCATTTGTTGGTGTTCGACAATTATGGAATTGACTGGCTTAAATCCCAAGTGAGAGTTAATTTATGTCAAAACTGTGTCATCTTTATCACAAACATGGAATCCACCACAAAATACGATACGTCATAATAAATACCATATAAGTAGAATTTTTTGCGAGACGCAATTTATGCGATTTTTCTTTAAAAATCTGTATTTTATTTTTGTAAGAAGTACATTTTAGCGATTTGATGCCTTTAAAGATAACAGTAACCTCAAATGTGAGAATAAAGTGTAAGTGATATTTAATTTTAGCAATCTCAACACCCTCGCTAAAAATGCCAAAATTAAATACTCGCTAAAATTTTTACTTATACGGTAGTTAAAGGTATATGCTTTTAAAATTTTACTGCAGTAAGCATAAGAGGGAAAAGCATTCATATCTAAGTTCATTACTTACATGTAAGAAAATATTTTATCGTTTAAAAATTACTTTAAATTTAATGAAAGAGAGATGCTTCAAAGTTGCAGAACTCGGTGTACCTGACGGAACAGTTTTGGTCTTTGTTTGAACATTTGTTGACCTTTCTTTCGAATGTTGCACAGCATCTTTGAAACTCCAATAAAACAATCGTTAACTTCTTGAACCGATTTCTTTGTGAATTAATTTGCTATTTCATATATTTGCATTTTATGGAAGTCCTAAAAATACACACTAAAAAGTTATGATTAAAAAGTATCCTATTGCAATTATAGAGGGATCTGTCTTTCTATGCAAAATAGAATAAAGAGGAATTTACAGTTAATGACACAATTTTCTAGTAGATTAAAGCTTTTCTCACATTTTTTTTCAAGACATTACACCAAGATAAAGTAATTGAACCGTTATTCACACTTATCTTCAATGTGTCAGAAAATAACAGAGATTTTTGTTCACGAATACTTCATTGTCTTGAAACATCTTTTTTTTTTCCTGTGAAATTATGGCAATACCCACTCAAAAATCATTATTGCTTAGAGTTTCCTTAATCACATCTCTAGCACAAATAAAGTTATGAGAGTATGTAGTTTTATTGTAACAATTTCCATCTGTCAGTCTGTCATCTCGTCATTCTGTCAATCTACCTTAATTATTCTTTCCCTCTGTCCCTCTGAACTAGATTTTACATAAATGCTATTTCGCTTTTTCTAAATCTATTAAAACTGAATTGATATATCTTTCTGCATGCTCGTGTAATTTGATGACTTAAAGATCAATAGATACTATGCAGAATTTTGTTACCTGTTGTTTTAAGTGTGCCTAATAGACCAAATGGAGCTTTGGTGTGAAGAATTGTTGAACTCTCTTTCGAAATATGCAGCCCAGCACCTTAGAAAAGAATAAAACTAAGAAAACAGTATCTTTGAAGAGAATAAAATAACGAAAACTAATACATTGAAAAGCTGATTTCCTCCCAATGAATTAATTTTGTTTGTTATTTTCTCAATTTATTTTAGTTCATTATTATTGTAATGAAGAAACAGAAATCGAGTTTTACGAATATTCTTGACATATAAAAGAATTATCCATAATAAATGATTGTCATCGATACTTAATCTCAAATCTATTAAAAGCATAAGTTGCATTAATTTATATAATCATCATAATTATAATCATCTAAAATCTTCAAACTTGATTCCCGGCATCCTACGATATGGTAACATAACTCTTCACTGCAGTTGCACTTTTGATGGCAGTCTATTCCATAAGAGAGACCGGGGCATATCTCTGTACAATTTACACCAAAATATCCTAATTCACACGCTGAAATTTTAGGTAAATTATAAATATTTTCTCATAAATATATAATCTAATTCTATATTACCGAGATTATTTTGCATGAAATTATTGAATCAGAATTTTTCATAACAATTGGGCTTATATATTAAAAATAGGAGAGTCTTTACGAATGCATTGTCTCTTGGTATTATCCCATCTGAAACCAGCACAGCATGTGTAGTTCCTGTAATGTATGTTAAAATCTTTAAAAATGCCGATACATACTATATAGTTTATCCTCTGTCAACATTGAATATTTATTACACTTAGAACTTTTCAAAAAATAACGACCCCAAAAATAAACATATGATTTGGAACCTTAAACATACAATCTAAGAGTGTTTTTTTTTAATGTCGATAACAATTAAATGATGCATAAAATTTATTTCCTTTTATTATTATTGTCTATTTTATTTCGGCGATAAATCATGGAAATAAAAATTGAAGAAGTAAATTTATCAGTTGTAATTTATTTTTTAGTATTTCTGTTATTTATTTAAATAATTTACAGCTCAATCTATGCCTTGTAGTAGTTTAACAATATTGAATTGGCTTGATTTGCTAATTTGATTTAGCACATTACATAAATGTATTTCCTTTCATACACAACAAACTTGAAAGTACAACAGGAGTGAACGTAGAGAGAGAAAGCAAAGGGAACAGAAAAGGAAAGGAATCAAGGATGAAAGTCCACCGGGAAAGAAACGCAAAAAGAGGTAGTACATGTACATGTATAACAAGTCAGGATAGATTTGATCAAATCAAACTTTCGTTCAGCAAAAACTTAACCCGTTGTAAAATCAAATTTTGGACATTTCTGTCCTTTGACTGTTGAAAAAAATGAATGATAAGCGTCTTTTTTTCCTGTGTAAATTCAAATTTCGATTGATCAAAAAAAAAAAAAAATTCAAGTTTCTTACCCACCACATCTTTGATTGTCTCTTGTCTGGATCGCGTTTAGTGTCAAAAAGAAAATGTATACGATAGAAAATGTTATCTCCATCTTACTCGTCCTCTGTTTACAAACTTGAAAACTCTGGAATGTACGCGAATTTAAAATCGCCATTTATAATTTGTTAAACCGGAAAAAATCTCTGTATTCATATTCGGAAAGATTTCCCTTCAATCATTGACATAAGTGAAAGAGGAAATCATAAAATGTACATACGGATATGCATAATATTTATACCAAGCAGTACAACTGCACGACACATGCATGTTAGACTTATCATGTCACATGTTATTTTTGAAACCATCTGCTTATTTCCAAATATACATGTATCATGTTCAATAAAAACTCAACGTTGATTCTAGTGGAAAAGGTGTATATTTATAATGTGTGAAGAAATGAATAATCAAATTAAATATAATTTGAGAAAGCTTAATATCAATTATGTAACCGTGGCCATAATGGGGATCAAAGTTTAACATAGGGAATTATAGAAAAAAAAATCTTCTCAAGAAACCGTCACGGTAGCTCAGTAGGTAGAGCGCATGCTCCGTGATCGCTAGGTCGTGTGTTTAAATGACGGCCCCGACTGAACTAAGTCGATAAAAACTAGGTAGCAACTGTTCCTTCGCCAAACGCTCGGCACTTAAGCTTTGAAGTGAAAATTCAGATGAATTCTTCGGATGAGACCTTAAAAACCGAGGACCCGTGTCACGGTAGGCGTTGGCACGATAAAGATCCCTCACTGCTCAATGGCCCTCAGTTTCGAGTAAAGGTCTAAATTTGAAGCTCTTCACTGGTACATGTATATGGTGACGTTTCTATATATGAGTGGAAAATACTCGAATTGAATGTAATTCAATCAATCTTCTCAAGAACAACAAAGCCATGATTGGTCATATTTATATGGAAACATCATCAGGTACTGCAGATTTAAGTGTGTTCAAATCATGACCCCAGGGTTGGTTGGGGCCACAATGGGCGAAAAAATACGAGAGATTTTAAGGTATTCAATGTATAACGACCATATTGTGTATCTAATAAATGAATGGTCCTATATTTGTAATTATGATATCATTTTGAAGTTGTTATGAAATAAAAATACTCCACCAGCGAAATTTACAAAATCTTGATTATTGCCAAATTATTTGCACCTTGAATTTTAAATTGAAGTCTATAGCTATGGGCAATGCATGTGTTATTATGATATTGTAAAAAGAAATTTGAATTTCATTAAAAGCTCTTGGTGAAAATATGCATACACTCTCTCTTTATTAGAATTTGAAATAAAATTAATCATTCACCGCAGATATTTTGACGAAATTAAAAGTTTCTTCTTTGGCTCAAGGGCAGATAACTCTTTATAAACTTTTGCAAAATGATCAGTTTCTTATATGTTATCAGTCATGAGAATTTGGTTCATTTCACTTTCATCGTTATCTAGCAATGCATTTTAACTAGTTTTAAATGATTCAAAATTGTTCAAAATCCCTTCATTATACATTGAATACCTTAACATAATGCAAAATAAGAAAAATGTTCCTCATAATATCAGAAAATGAATTAATTTGCGACTTGAAAGTGTATAAAAGGATTAAATTAAACTACATCCAAACTGCATTCATTTTCATATCTAATTTAATCCTATAAAACAAGATATGAACAAGTCACTGATCGGAATGCATTTGTCGACATGACGTCATCTTGGAACAATAATATGACGTATTTAAGGTGTAGTAAGAGGCCGATAAAGTAATTTTTCACAGTGAAAAATGAATTTTATCGCTTAAACTGCAAACTGCTGCAGCTTTAAATTGACTTTGCATTTTATTATGTGGTAATATCTGTACATATTATTTCCATATTTATTTAACTTCAGTTCTAATCCCTCCTTTGCGTAAATTCCTATCTTCGTATGTGATTTGTTTATTCATGAAAACGGTAGAGTTATATTTTATTTTCAAACATGTTTCATTTAAAACTTTTCCTTGGTTACTTCTGAATTTATTATCAAAATACTATACAGCTAATTTTACTTTCATTCTTTTGTTAATAACGGTATTTAAACCCAAGCACAGCCGTGCTCGGGGCTTCTGCTGAGCCAAGCCTTGAAACAAGTTAAATATTTAGGAGTTACCTCAACCTTCGTTCCCCTTATAAAGTTTTGAGAATTTTTTTTTTTTTTTTTTTTTTTTTTTTTTTTGTCTTTTCTTCTGATGCCACATTCCATCCCCGTGATTATAACGTTGTTATTTCGTGTTTATCTTACTTTATTAGCGTTCGCTCTATAGTCGCAGCGTAAGGAGTTGATCCTTACGTTGCGGGTTCGAATCCCACTGTGGGACGTGGAGACTGGTCCTTCGGATGAGACCGTATAAACCGAGGTTCCGTGTCGCAGTTGGTGCTGACACGAAAAAAATCCCTCACTGGTCAATGGCCCTGAGTGCCGAGTATAGGTCAAAATTTGTAGCTCTCCACTGGCAAGTGGTGGCGTCTCCATATGAGTAAAAAATTCTGGAGAGGGACGTTAAACAACAAACAAACAAAGAAACTAGTCTAACTCTAGGCGGACTCAATTTAACCTGGAAAATATCAAAAGTGTTAAATACTTTACAAAAAAGCACATTTCAATAGTAGTGGCTGAATGCCCAGCTACTACGATTATAGTTACATGTAATATTTCAAGTAATTGGGCTCAAGTTGAGATCTGAGACCTTTACCAAGTGTTCTATGTATTTATTAAGTAATGCTCTCGATTTCAGAAAAAACAGCAGCACTAATCAAGATAAGGAATATTTCCCATGCATATGTAGATTTTTAAAAAAATGGCCAAGATCAATGAAGTATATATCTTATGAAAAGGCGATTTAATGAGGCAACTCGATGCTAAATATCCCAATCCTGTTCACAAAAACACGATAGATCTACTTCAATAAATTCTGTCGATAATTATTGAATAATGGCACAAAACAAAGGTTTCACGTTGGTATTAATGATCTTTCTAATATCTGGAAATAACATTCTGTTTGATAATAAAATAGCAGTAACCCAGGTGACCTAAAATAAAAAAAATCAAACCTCTCTTACTCTTTTCAATCGATTTCTTACCCATTCTTCAAGACGAAATGTCACAAATTTTAAAGGGCACACGAGATGATTTCACATCTGTTACATATTTTGATTTTGTACTTACTAGACGTTTTATATGCCCCAACTTATTTGGTAGGCTAGATCATGTTTTGAGTGCGAGCAATTTTTTTTTTAAATCGAGGAGGCTACTGACAAATAAATTGATGTTATCGGATTTTCTCTCGTTTAAAATTCAGCATTTTGCTAATTCTGTGGTCGTCATAATTGCATTATCTGCAAAAACAACCACTATTTGGGTCCTATTTATTCCTGTTTCGTAGAAAATGTAGAATAGGTGATGCTTTATATCAAGTTTAACTATGAATATTACTGTCTTTATCTGATCAATACAAAGGGATTATAAGCGATCGAAAGGAGATGCTGAATTCTGGGACAGTACAATGTAATTCGTAAAAATCTAATCAGAATGTGGGTATGAGGAGGAATGATTTCCAAAGAAGTTCAGTTATTTCCATGTCGCAACAAAATTGATATTAAAAAAATGTAAGATTTTGCCTTGGTACTCTTAATTATATAAGTTAATATTAAAAGAATGCTAGAGTTCCTCATTAACAACAGTTATGTAGTGTTTGGAGACCAGGTTTTCCAACAAACTATTGGAACTCCCATGGGCACAAACTGTGCACCTTTATTTGTCGACCTGTTTTTATATTCCTATGATTCAGATTTAATTCAAAAACTTCTACATGAGAAGAAGAAAACACTTGCCATGGCCTTCAACTCGACATTCGGATACTCTGAAATCACTTATTTTCGTTAGGGTTTAATTTTCGTTGTTTTAAAGTATGACTGATTGATTGATTGATTGTATGTTGTTTTACGTCCCATTCGAGAATTTTCCACTCATATAGAAACGTCACCATATACCGGTGAAGGGCTTCAAATTTTGTCCTTTACTCGGCACTCAGGGCCATTGAGCAGTGGGGGATTTTTTTCGTGCCAACGCCTGCCGTGACATGGTTCCTCGGTTTTTAAGGTTTCATCCGAAGGACCCGCAACTTTCATTTCAAAGTGCCGAGTGCATGGCGAAGGAACAGTTGCTACCCATTTTTTATCGACTTAGGTCAGTCGCGGCCAAAGTTCGAACTCACGACCTCCCGATCACGGAGCGAGCGCTCTACCGACTGAGGTACCGTGAACAGTCAATCATTCTATTAAATTTCAAAATAATGACACTGGAGCCTGTACGAACCTTATTGAATCTACCTGGAACGCAGTAAAAAGTCTCTACCCAAAACCGGAACGCAAAAACAGCAATACGACAGTTATTTAGTTGAATAGTGCATAAGAAACTGTGAAAAATTCTTCAAATCCAGTTCATCTGAAATGCGGTACACAGTCAAATACAGAACTTGAATTTTTTTTTAAAAAATGTTGTTAGATTTAAAAAAAAAAAAAGAAAGAAAGACTTTACTCTATACTTTATCAGGTTTATTGAATGTCCTCAAAATTTAAAAAAATTATTATAAATTAAATTGAAAATTAGAGTAAAATTTCAAAAATTACCTTTAGTACGAAGATTGTCATTTTGCCAATTGTGGAGAAGCAGAATGATTTCAAGATGATTGATGCTGACTGATTTGCATTTTCAATTATCATATTGAATAACCAACCATGTTTCCTACATTTTTGTGTAAGACAGATCCGAAATGAATTTAACTGTAAGTTTTATAATTGAGTAATATGACTCTGATACATCATTTTTCATTTTCATTTAAATTATGAGATTTGAACACAGACCTTGATAAGTTGTTTGCATTCTGCAAAATATAAATACCCTTATAAAAATAACATTTCTGAACTATTAAGTCATCAAGATATTGATATGAAAGTTTCAAGAAAATTCTCTATGAGGGGGTTTAAGCAATTATTTTTTCAAGTCATAAAGTTGTTTC